CGGCTAATTCGGCCGACCTACAACCGTTCCTGCCTCCGCCGCCGCCATAGAGACCGGAACTAGAATTAGAGTAGAGTCACCACGAGAACCATAGAGTACCCGAGAGGACGGGCAGAGTGAACGTGACTTTCACGAGGCTGCGGCGCGGGCGGGCCCCACGTCCAGGGTTGGGTCCTGCCCGGGGGAAGGGCAGCGGCCAACGCCGGGGCCGGGATTGCCTGGCCTGGCCCGGGGGCTCGGAAGGGGAGCCGACGACGCCTGGGCCCCGGGTGGAGGGGAGGCCGCCTCTCGCCCGCCGATCCCTGGACGTGGTCCTTGTGACCTCGGGCCATCGCTGCGGATACAGCCGTCTTTTCTGCAATGGCCGTGTGCGGTCTGCACAGCGAGGGCTTCGGGGACCGGCCTAAACGGATGCATTCAAAGAGCGTGCGCTTGGGCGGAGCGGTCACCTTGGAGGGGCCGTGCGGTCCGTCGGCCGTCCCCGCTCAGCCTATTTAGGGCGGGGGGCGGGGGGTGCTCCACGGCGACCTGCCTCCTGCACCTCTAAGAACCGTGTCGTTAAGTGTGCACGTCTTTCTGTATTGGCCACAAACCAGATTCCACTTCAGCTCACGTTTATTGAGCAAGCTGGCCATTTCCCTTGCATTCTGTCCGTGCAGCAGCCGTGTGAAATGGGGACTACCGTCCTCATCGTGCAAACCATTTCTGAGGCTGCCACCTGATGTAGCCCAAGTCCCCCCCCCCCTTCATTCGTTCTTAATGCTAAGGGTTCTCCTGTGGGCCCTGACGCGCTAGCTCGAAACTCCAAGTCTCTGCCCTAAATTCCGTCTGGGGATGCAGGCAGACGTTTAAACACAGGAATTTCAGTCTTGAGGATGAAGGCAGAAATTCAAACTCCCACAAACACTCTTACAGCTTCGCAAAAGCACAAAGCATTCTGGGAGTGGAGGTGGGAAGAAGGTGGGAGTGCCGACTCCAGGCACGAGGAGGTTTATGCAAAAGCCTGGAGGCAAGACGACGACGGGGAGGGCCTGGGGCAAATGGAAGGCAAGTAGTCGGGGTAAGGCTAGAATGAAGACCTTGGGTTATAGGGGTAGGCTGGTTCCAATTAGGAACATTTTTATTTGAAATTATCCTAAGGGCAATGGTGAGAAGGGTAATTTTAGAATTTTAAGTAGGGAGTGGCAAGATTTTTTAAAAATGGCTACTGGGTGGAAAAGGGATTGTAGAGGGACAAGATGGAAGGAAGGAGGCAGCAGGCTGGGGCAGGATGATGGAGGCTTGTCCATTCCACCTCCTAAAGATCTCTAAATGCCAAACCGGATCTCTCATTCCTCCTGCCCTGACACTAGTGCAGGCAATCATCTCTTGCTTACAGCAGGAATAGGCAAACTTTCTCAGAGAGCAAACAATTTAGGCTTTGCAGGCCAGATGATTGTGTCTCAACTGCTCAACTTTAGAGCCTGAAAGCAGCCAATCAATAAACAAGTGCACCTGTGTTCCAAAAACCACAGCGTTGTGGACGCTGAAATTTGAATTTCATATTTTTTTACATATCACAAAATATTCTTTTGTTTCAACTGTTTAGACACTAAAAAACATTCTTATTCTTAGCTTAGGAGCCACTGATAAACAGGGAGTGCCGTCTGACCTGCCAACCACAGTCTGCTGACCCCTCACTTTAGCGCACTACTGTGCCCCCCAACCCCTGGCCAGTCTCTACCTCTTTCTTACTCTAATATCCTCCACGCAACATCCAGAGCATTCTGAAAACATCTATCTGATCATGAGAGTTCTACTTGAAATCTTTCAGTGACTACTACCACTCTTAGATTTGTCCAAATTTCTTATTGTGATTTACAGGACTCTGAAGGACTTCTCCAAACTGACCTCTGACACTTCTTTTCACATTTCCTTGTTCAACCTTCCAGGTGATCTTTTAGCCATCGCCTCCTGTGAGTTATCACATACTATTCCCTCTACATAGAAATCTCTTCCTTTCTCTCTTCTTCTCTTTTGCCTGCTTAACTCTTCATGCTTTGGGTCTTGCCTCAGATGTTATTCATTAGGAGACCCCCCTATCCTAACACACTGTGTCGCACTATTTAAATCTTCCTCTCCTCAGACTGAGTTCCTGAAACATCTGGACTAGTACCTGACACCCAGCATCTTAGTAAGTTTGTTCTATAAATAACGTGGTGTGGAAAATGGACTGGAGAAGGTACTGGCAGCGGAGAGGTCATCTGGGCAGCTGCACCAGTAATCCGGGTGAAAAAGGCTTGCGGCAATTATGTGTATGGACAGAATAGGTGGATTCTGGAGCTGCTATTCATCTGTTCCAACTCCACATAACTTTTGACTGTTAAAAAGAAAATGCTTCCTCAGAGGCAGTTCTTCCAACACTGGGGACGTTTAAAAGTGTGCCCTATAGGTTTGCGACCTTTCTTCCAAAGTAGAGTTACAAAGACACTTAGAACAATGAGAGCAGGGGATCCCTGGGTGGCTCAGTGGTTTAGCGCCTGCCTTTGGCCAAGGGCATGATCCTGGGGTTCCAGGATCGAGTCCCACATCGGGCTCCCTGCATGGAGCCTGCTTCTCCCTCTGCCTGTGTCTCTGCCTCTATCATGAATAAATAAATAAAATCTTTATAAAAAAATGAACAATGGGAGCAGCACCTCTGTGAATAAATGAGCAATATTCCCTCTGTAACTGCTTTGAAGGGATGGCTTCTCAAACAGCAATATCAATTCTGTTAAGATTTGTCTTTAAAATGTTACTTAAAAGTATCATTACTTACCCACACTAAGCCCTCTCTTCATGCTCAATGAGTATAAAGATGAGTTACTTAAGAAACTAGTTTCCTTGTAGCCACCTCCATAGCAGCAGAGATGATACTGATGCCCTAGAGGATAAATAGTTCATGTCAAAATTCAACTCCTGCTCCAAGGTGGGAGCTTTCTGCTCCAGGTTTGCTAGCCCCTTGCTAGTACACTGCCCAGCATGGTGACCAGTTTGGACAACTTCAGTGCCATCCTTAAGTGATAGGAAAGGCAAAGAGATTCATTCCAAGAATCTGCATTGCAAAATAATGTTCACCCTGTCTTCCATCTCTAACAGAGTCTGGCCCAAGAACATAGTTCCTCTCCCTAGAAAGCCTTCAATCTGTCCATAATTAACTCAAATGTTACCTCTTCCTTTCATGCTACTCCTCTACCCCCCACCCCTACAGCATACCATTGTACATACCATCCACACAACAGGTATTCCTTGAGCACGTACTAGATACTAGATACCTTTCTAGGTGCTGGGGACATAGCAACAAAACAAAACAACACAACACACCCATATTTCCTGGTTCACATTCTAATACCACACTGAATTGAAATGTGCCTAACTCCTGCCACAAGCATGGGCCACATCCTACTCATCTTGCAGCTCCTGTGCCCAGGACAGAGACTGGCCTAGAATGCAGATGCCAAAAGTAACTGGATTCAACTGAATGACCCATCACAAGAACATCAACTCAGGATCTCAGCTGCTCATCCTTCTTCCTCTTTCTCTAATTCCACCTTGTCTGGTTAAAGAACTCTCCACCATTAGGTTGTCCTTTCTTCACTTTGTCGCCTGAACCCTGTCTACTTAGCTATAGAGAGTTGCAAATATCTATACTGTAGGGCCTTTGTATAGCTCACCAGCTTCCTGTACCCCAATACACTGAAATGGCACTTTTAAACAGGTTCTCTTCTGTCACAGAATTCAGCTCTGCGCTACCTCTGCCACTGCCAGGAGTTATGAGTCATCCCTGCCCATGAGCCAAGAGAGATGGCAAGAAACGGCTTCATGAAAGGAACACCATAGAGCTTTTTTTTTTTTTTTAAAAAAAAGATTTATTTATTCATGAGAGACACAGAAAGAAGGATTGGGGGGAGCAGAGACACAGGCAGAGGGAGAAGCAGGCTCCACGCAGGGAGCCCGATGTGGGACTCGATCCAGGATTCCAGGATCACGCTCTGAGCCAAAGGCAGACGCTCAACCACTGAGCCACCCTGGTGTCCCACCATGGAACTTTTTTTTTTACCCCTTGAACATTATGCTCAGTGGGGTCTTTCCATGTTGGGCCATGTCCTTTCAGGATAAGCATTTTCCAAGGCAGTTACCTTCATATCCATGTTCTTATTTGACTCTTTCAACAATGCTATGAGGTAGGTAGGTGTTATTATCCCCATTTTACAGATGAGAAGACTGAGGTTCTGAAAGGGGAAGAGAACTTCTCAAGACCTCTACTGTTTAAAAAATGACCCCAGGGGCACCTGGGTGGCTCAAGCCAGTAAGCATCTGCCTTCAGCTCAGGTCATGATCCCAGAGTCCTCTCCCCAGCTTGTGCTCTCTCAAATAAATAAAATCTTTCAAAAAGACCTCAGATTAAAACTAAGATTTGAGCAAATTATTCCCACTTCATCATGACTGAGACACATTCTACCAAATGGTCTCGGATCCAAAAATATCCCAAGTTAGTGACCCTTTTCCCACAGGCTCCAGAACCAACCAAACTGAACCTGGGTACATCCTTGGAATAAATTGTACTTACAGCCCTGGAGCTTTGCCTTCTTTGCCCAACCAGCTGGAACCAAAGAAGGGAGTGCTACAGTTGCTTGCAAGTCTGAGGCATCACCTAACCACAGGGACAGTTTGGCTCTAGTCCATGCTATCCTCTGGTGAGAGCTAGTCCTTCTAGGTGAAGGTAAGGTGTGAGGAGACAGGCTAGGCTATCATTATAATCGGTTAAAAACAACACATATAACAAAACAAAACAAAACTTTATTTACAATCGAAAATGTAAACAGTCTTGGGTTCTGAATCTGTGACACTTCCAAGGTCTCTTGATCAGAAAGGTCAGCAGCAGGCAGGGAAGCAAACACAGGGGCCAATCCAGATGATCTCCCTCAAAGCGCCACCCAGAGCAAGGGAAGGCCTACGGTGGCAGAGGTGGAGGTCTGTTAGGGATGGAAAAGAAGCAGCTCGGATGCAACTGAAGGGGATATTCCATGAGACACAACACTCCCAGCTCTTGTCTACACTCCTAACCTGCTTTTCCCCAAAGAGCAGAACTGGCCTGACTCTTGCCCACGGTCAGACCTTTGGTTCCTCATGATAAAGTTGAGAGTATATTACACAAGAACCAAAAAGAAAGAAACTAATATTTATGGCCATGCATATCGCCTCATTTATTTACCCTTCACAAACTGTGCAGGATATGTTATCTGTAATCAAGCAGAAGAGGAAACTAGGGTCTCTCAGGGTTTAATGGTTTGACAGTGATGGGGCTTCTTGGTCTCCTTGGCTCCAAAGTCTGTGTGCTTTTTGCCAGACCTCGATGGCTCTCTGTGGAGCTCTAGAACAAAGAGCAATCCTTCGTCCTTGCAGGTTTTGGTCCCAGTGTCATAGAGAAAGTAAAGTCCACACCCTCTGTTTATGGCCTTGGTAGTTAGCTTTAAGAACAGAGTGAGTACACTTAGAAACTACCCTGTCTCCCTCCCCCTACATGTGGCCACACCCCTTTCCCTTCAAGGGACAGGGAGTCCTGGTGTCAGGCGGCAGGCTCAGAAGTTTACCCCTAGGCCCCAAAGCAGAATGTATAAAACTGCGTACATGCACTTTGTCCGTCCCATGGTGCTCCAGGACCTAAGCTCTATTGTAGACCAGGTGCTGTGTGAGTCAGCGTGGTCCCTGCCTCAAGGAGTACTGTCTAGAGAAGACCAGGCCAACAGGGGTAATGTGCCACGTTAGATGCCGTACGGAGATGGACCAAGTACTGTGCCAGCACCCAGGAAGGCACCGCTGCTGTGCCTAGACCGGAGAGATAGGAGGGACCAGGCTGGTTAGCCACATGCTCCTGGGAGCAGCTGCGAGGAACTAGGATCAGTTAAAACTCCGTATATACACAATTTTATTTCAATTATAAGATACACGCTCAATAAAGAAAGTTCAAGCATACACAGGACGATAGAAATGGGGGGAGAAAGACTCTTTGCCGTCTCTACACTACACAAGTAACTATTATTAACATTAATATTAATAGTTAACTATTATTAACTATTATTGGCTTAATTTCACTATAGTAATTCCTGAAACACTCAAATGTACTAAATCTTGACTTTGTCCCTTAACATTCCCTAGAAATGGGCAGCCCAGGTGGCTCAGCGCTTCAGCTTACTGCCTTCAGCCCAGGGGGTGATCCTGGAGACCCGGGATCCAGTCCCGCAACGGGCTCCCTGCATGGAGCCTGCTTCTCCCTCTGCCTGTGTCTGTCTCTCTCTGTGTCTCTCATGAATAAATAAATAAAATCTTAATAAATAAATAAATAGATAGATAAATAAATAAATAAATAAAAAGGAAGAGTAAATGATACTCTTTAATAAAAAAAAATTCCCTAGAAATCTGTCGTCCCCCCCCCCCCCCAGATCTACCTTTCTTTTTCAGGCTACGTGTTATTTCACTGATTGGTGTAGCTCAGTGTGAGACCTGATCCCTGTGATCAATACCCTGAGCTGTGCCTTTGTACTGGATTGGACTGGAATGAAGCCATTCTCCCTCCCTCTCCTTTTGGCTGGCAAGGCTTCTGTCTTTCAGGGCAGGCGACAACAGTGTCACACACCCAGCAGGCATGCAAATATTTGCTGTCAAATCTCTGGTGTTTCCTAGACCTGTATTTTCATGGGGAACCTTTTCTCTGGCCCGGACTTCTGCAGTGGACACCTCACCAACCTCAGCTTCTCCTACACGTTGCTGCCAGAATCATCACTGGAACAAGCAAATTCAATCACAATGTCCTGCTCAGAATATTCCAGTGGCTCCTGTTGGCCTGGTTCTTTTTGGAGGGCCAGGCAAGGCTCTTTTCTGACAATGCCCAGAGTACAATGGACTCTCACTCCAGGAGGGAACAAATGTGCATACTGCCTGAAGCCCTCTCAGGATAACATGAGTATCTCAGCCTGCCCTGATCTCACAACTGGCCCTGGCCTTCTCCAGCCTTACCCCTTACCTTTTGCTTTAAACACCTTCCTGCTTTGGCCATATGAATTAGGTGCAGTTTCCCTTACAACTCCTGCTGTTTCCTGCTTTTGTGCTTTTGCTCATGCTGTTCCCTCTGCCTGGAATGCCCTTCCGTTTTAGCCACCTGAGAAGTTCCCTTCTTCACCTACTCAGCCAGCCAGAGCAGCATCTCTCCTGTAGTCTCCGCAGACTGGTTCAGGCAGACATAGGCATTCCAGCTTTCCTTACTTTGTTCTGAAGCCTCTAGTCCAGTGCTCTTTGCACTATAATTGTCAGTTTCCCCAAGAGACTGTGAGTTCCTTAGGGACAGGAACTGGGCTTTTCAAATTTGCAGTCTCATATGCAGCATGGGGCCCATCTTAATCCATCAGTGCGTACTGTGGAAAGAATGAAGGACCAGTCCATGTGCTACCAACATGCCTCATCATCTTCCTCTACAGGAACATATCACATCTATGGGTAATCCCAGAATGGGGGACAGTGTTTCCTAAAGCTCCACCATTCCAATAGCACCTTCACCACTGTTCTAGCCACCACCCACAGGTTAATTAATTTTTAATCTGATCACCTTTGGAATTTGAATGATGCCACACTGTTAAAAGGTACTCATCACAGCACCACCTAAAGCAGCGCTACCCATATTCCTCTGATAAGAAGCACCTGAAATGCTTGTTACAAACATAGCGTCCTGGATCCTACCTCACACTCACTCACTCAAACTCTCCAGAAAAGGGATCTGGGAATTAGTAGCGTTAACAGATGATCGCAAGTGATTCGATTCTTTAGGGAACTTGGGGACGGAAGAAAGCTATCTACTGCTTGCTATAGGTACCAGGTCTGGGGATAATTGGAAGAGCAGCAATCCAGACTAGCTGGACTGCCAGAGCTCTCAGCCACTCCCCTTTCCAAGAGACTCAAACCAGAGGCTACAGACCAGTCCCCAAGTAGTCCTAAGTAGCAAAGAAACTGGCCTAGACTACAGCAGGAGAATCATGAGGGCCAAGGGTCACTTAGGTATACCTAATCAAATTCATCGTAAAAAGCTTTCACAGCACCCACGGAGATAAAACTATGGTTTCTATATCTAGAGTTGTACAGAAAACTTCATGCTCACTAAAACCAAAGTCAGGACCTAAGGCAAAACACAGAAGTTCCAGAAGTGCTTCCTAGGCAGATACAGCTGATCAAGCCACTGGCACCATCTTCTATCTCCTTCCCATCTTCTTTTATTTCCAGTGCCTAGGCGCAAGGCCCCATATGCATGATTTGGTGATATCTTGATTTCAATGCAGTAGATTCCTGCCGGACCAGTGCCACCAAGAAAGGATCTCCTTCTGGGTCTTTTCTCATTGGAATATGGAGGCTTCTTAATTAAAAAGCAGGTTCTGTTATTCTACTATAGCCCTGCCACTCAAAGTAAGTATTAGCATCTCCTGAGTGCTGCTTAGAAATGCAAAATCTCTGGCCCTATCCGGACCCACTGAACCAGAACCAGCATTTTAACAAGATCTCCTGGTGATTCATAAGTACATTAAGGTTTGAAAAATACTGCCCAGTAGGGTTTGAAAACAGCATCTATATTAACTGTCAACCATTATCCTGCCCCACACAACTGGAGGAATCTAAAACATTCCCATAGGAATTAGAGATGCTTGTAACTTTAGAGCTGGGAAGAAAAATGATGGGATGACAACTGTTCTCCAGGGAATTAATCTCCACTTTTCCTTTCTTCCAAATCACAGTACTGAGAAACCCAAAGTGGGGTCAGTACTGCCACCTAAATCCCTAACACCTTAAAGCTTATGATAAAGATTTTTGGTAAAGTTAAATGAGATAATTCAAGTTCTTAGCTCAGTATTTAGCACAAAAAGTATGCAATAAACGATAACTGCCATTATGATGTTGCCTCTAAATATTAGCTATGAAAAGTTCAATTCTGAGCAAGTCAGGGGTAGGAGACTGAATCGGAGGTATCAGACTTATATTTAATTAAAATTAAATTAAAAATTCAGTCCTTCAGTCACATCAGCCACATATTTCAAGTGCTCAACTGTCACATGTGGCTGGAGCTGCATGATGGACAGCACAGATATAGAACATTTCCACCATCACAGAAAGGAATTTCTATTGGACAGTTCTGGTCTAAGAAGCCTCTGGAACATCAAATGGACCCTGTGGAATTTATTCTGCTTGGGTTGCAGGCCGAGAAGAGAAGCTTCCATGGGGGCAAAGGTTTACATACCCTTTGCTAATAAGAGATGAGGAGGGGAGGGCTGTGATCACCACCCTCAGAAATCAAGCCCCCAACAAGGATTTCCACAAACTTTCTATAAGGGACTCAGAAAAATAAAGAAAAGAAGCCCCAAGCAAAAATTTCTAAACTCCATATTCTTTTTATCTCTGTCCTCCGGTAGTGATCAGTGGTCAATCCTTAGAAGGAAAAGGACCTAGTAGCTCAATTTAGGTTCAGCAAAGAACTAAGTGGGAGAAGGAGGGAAAAGCCAGACACTACTGAAGTAGAGCATGCTGAGCCCTAGGGACCCCTGGTACTGGCAGAAAAGAAACCTCAGGGTGTCAACTGTGCCTGAGAAGGGATCTTTTGGCTGGACAAGAGAGAGGACCACGTGCAGCTTCTAGGAAACACTTGTGCATGCCTGCCTCAGCATTTGCACACACCAGTTCCCTGCCTAAAATGCCTGACATTCTCCCTCTCTATTAACTCATGTAATAAATTTTTAATGAATGCCTGTAAGTACCAGATGATATAACACAAAATCACAGAGAGAAGTATGTACAGTTATTAAAATGGTCTGGCATTTGACTAGATCTCCACTGAGGAACAAAAGCAGAGAAAAGAAAAATAAATTCTAGGTAATTTTTTAAGTATGTAAATAAAACCATAGAAATATTAGAAATAATACAAAAGACATTATGATCTGAGATATTAAGGACCTTCCTAAACAAAACAAGACCACAAAAGCCGTAAGAGAAAAGATGGATAGTTTTGACCTCATCAAAACTTAGAACTTCTGCTTAACAAAGGTTATCACCAATGTTCAGAAAACCAACACATTGCTAGTTTTTGCTTAAAATACATTCTGGATAAAATAGTTATATAAAATAGAGAAGTAAGGTTCAGAATTTATAACTATTCAAATCATAAGAGAAGGGTAAAATATGTTATGTGCTATAAACATAGAATATTGTCAGTTTTGTTTTACTACAAAGTAGTTTTATGTGATGGGAGAGGAAAAGTCTTCAAGACATCTGTCAAATGGAAAACAAGTGATGAACAAAATAGTGTGACGAAATTTGGGAAAAACAAAAACTCCCAAAATAAGATAGGAACAAAAAAGGCCCTGAAGGACATACATCAAACTGATAAAGCAGCTACCTCCTGGGACAGAAGTGGGATTGGATGGGGTGGGGGAGGAGAGATGACAAGGACTTGAACTGTTTTCTCAAGATTGTATCACGTTACATTTATTTATTTATTTATTTGTTCATTCATATTTAATTTATTTATTCATGAGAGACAGAGAGAGAGAGAGGCAGAGGGAGAAGTAGGCTCCATGCAGTGAGCCCAATGCGGGACTCGATCCTGGGTCGCCAGGATCACGCCCTGGACTGACGGTGGCACTAAACCACTGAGCCACCCAGGCTGCCCAACATTACTTTTATAATTAAAAATAAACAACCAAATGAAATATATGAATCTTCATTGAATCTTTTTTTTTTTTTTAGAGCTATTAAGGTTACTATGTGGACAGTTGGGGAAGTTGGAACATGTATATTAAATAATATTACTGTGAAAAAAATATTACTGTGGTCATATAGGATGCTATTTTTAGGAGTTGTTTGCTGAAGTATTTAGGGGTAAAGTGTCAAGAAGTCTTCACCTTTCAGGATGCCTGGGTGGCTCAGCAGTTGAGCCATCTGTCTTTGGCTCAGGGCGTGATCCCAGGATCTGGGATCGAGTCCCACATCGGGCTCCCTGCATGGAGCCTGCTTCTCCCTCTGCCTGTCTCTGCCTCTTTCTGTGTGTCTCTCATGAATAAGTAAATAAAATCTTAAAAAAAAAAAAGTCTTCACCTTTCAAATGGGAAAGAAAGGAAGGAAAACAATGGAAGGAATGAAGGTAGAAAGGACGAGAGGAAGTAGGGAAAGAAGGGGAGCAGGAGAGAGGAGAGGCAAGAAGGTAAAGAAAGAAAACAAGTTAAAGCAAAAATGATAAGTGAGAATCTTAACTACTAGAATATCTGGGTGAAAGGCAGATAGATGGGTGTTCAGTGTATCATTCTTCCAACTTTTCTGCAGGTTTGAAAACGGAAGGAAGGAAGGAAGGAAGGAAGGAAGCAAGGCAAAACACCACTACCCCACACCTAGCTGAAGTGATCAATGTCTCCCCTGAACTCTGATAACACTTAGCAATGTCACTCATATTACCAGTGATCACCTTGGAGAATGTGTCTTACTCCCCATAAGCTCCTGAAAGAGAGGCATTTTTCAGTTGTCATCCGGCAAAGAGCAGGCAGTGGCAAATATGGGTAGGAAGTGAGCCCACATGGGCTGAGAAGTATGTTGCGTTCACTTATGAGGCTGGCAGATACAAAGTCAGGGCCTGGAAATGAGCATCAGTTCTGAGGAGAGGCGTGACAGCTGTGCTCCAGGCAGCCCAGGCTGCTCCCAGCAGGGAGTTGCTGGGGGGGAGGGAGGAGGGGAAGTGGGGGGGGTGGGGGGGTGGGGAGGCAGGTCCTTCCAGCAGGAGCCCTGAATGGAAGGAACTACAGTCGGGCAGTGCTGTCAGTGCTGTTGGAGACTGCCTACTGGTTCTCAGGTTGATACTTTGTAAACCACCAAGTGGTAGAAAAGTAAAAACACCCCAATAACCCTTCCTCTTTTGATCCTTACAACGAGCCCGAGATCGCTATTGTCCCCATTTGACAGATGAGGAAAACAGGCTCAGAAAGGAAGGTGATTTCCCCAAGGTCACAGAGACAGGAGACGGGCTCAATCTCATGTTCTCATGTTTCAAGTGTGAAGTTCCTTCCACTAGATCATGCTGTCTTCACTGGGGACTCCTAACCAGGAGGAGAAAGACACACGTACCTGATGATCAGTCTTGCTCTGGACTACATCTCCCCACACTGTGAGATTACCACAGGTAGCTTGGGCTTATTGTTGGGGCCTGTGGGAACATTCTAGGAGAGAAAGCACAGTGGAGATTCACGTACTCAGACACAAGCTCACCAAACATTTACTGATGTCTGTCAGCCCCTGTGCTCTGGATTGAGGACTCAGGGACTGAAAGGATAACAATCCACATCCTAGCAGAAGGGTAAGGATAATCCAGATCAAAGAGAAAATGTACTACAGTTAAAAAAAAAAAAGATCAAACCTATGATAGATAACAAGGCAATAAGTTATAAGACAGAGTTTATACAACAGGGCAGAGGAAGCAACCACTGCTTCAGCAGGTCAGGAAGGATTCACACCACAGGAGATATCTGAGCTGGGCCTAGAAGGAGGCAGTGGATCCAAAGAGGAGGAAAAGAAAGGAGAAGGGCATTCCAGTAGAGGAAACAGCATGAGCAAACGCTCAGGGGCAGGAAGGAGCCAGAGGCAGGAATGTGTATGGCACATTTAGAGAAGAGCTAGTAGCCTGAGGAGGCTGTAATATGGAGGCAGTAGAGGCAGAAGGGGCTGTGCAGAGGTGGCAGGAACCAGGTCATGAAGGATCTTGGATCCACCATAGGATCTTATCAAGGAGGTGAAAGGGCTGTCAGAGGCCAAACTTCGGTGTGCACTAGAGATGCAAAGCTGCAGGCTGAAAACACAGGGAGGCAGGGGCCACGTACTCCTCCCTCTTCCTGAGGGAGCCCACGTAACTGGAGGTGGTCAGGCCCGGGCCTCACACACTTGGCTCCTAGACCAGAACGGACGAGATACAGGAAATCAGAACATGACTCACCTCAATCTTTCGCATCACTAGAAGTCCGTCAATGATCTTTCCTGTAGGAAGAATATGAGCTAGACTTTATTATTCTCATTTGCGTAGCACTTTCCAGCTTCTGATGCCCACTGTTAGCCATCATCTCATTTGACCCTCCTCTTACCATCAGAAAATTGGGACCTGATGGAAGTGAAATGATTTGCCCAAGGTCACAGGTAAGAGGTTACAGAGCGCTAGGTCTGAGCGACTGCAAAGCCCTACCATACCATGCTGCCTCCGCATGGCGTTTCTTCAGTGATACCATCTGGGTTTCCCTCCCAGACACACAGATCAGCCAAGTGGTCACACACTCTATCACACAGCCCCTCCGCCCTTCCCTTTAGTGCTCCAAGCACATGTCCTCCCCACCTCCCACCACCTCCACCTTCCCAGACCAGTTATATCAGCTGAGCCCTCTTGGGCCTAGAGCCTGGGGACTGGCTCCTTTGGAAGTCCCACTCTGTGTGAATGGGGCCTGGACTCTGGGACAGGAATAGAACTCACCAAACACTACGTGCTTCCCATCCAGCCAATCACATTTAGAACAGGTGATGAAGAACTGGCAGCCATTTGTACTGGGACCACTGTTTGCCTGACAGAAACCAAGTACATCTCCAGTGAGTTTTCCCGGCCATGCTAGCCGAAGGATAAGATTCCCAAAAGAGCCTGTAGCCTTGATTCCTTTCTTTCAGCAAACCTTACTGAATATCTACTATAAGCCAAGTCTCCGGAGCTAGGATCCAAGGACATAAACAGGATACATAATCACTGCCCTCAAGGAGCTAGATCCTTGAATCAAGGCACAGTTCTCCTGCAGTGTGAATTTTTAAAGTGGGAACAACTGTTCATGGGACCTGATTTGCTGTATTTAATCCAATACTGGTTATACCTGGATTATAGTTACAAATTAGATACCACTGAGAAAAAGCCTGTTGCCTATGCCATAAGCTCTTTTGTCTGAATAGCTTTGTACTGCACCGTGACAACGGTAATAAATGCCTTTAAGAAAGTGCAAGAAATTGCTAAGCTAGTGCCATGCTAGAAAAAGACTACATTTAATCAATGATGTTTGCTTTTTACAGCTACACCCAAAATCCTTATTGAATTTTACAGGAGCAAGAATTTTTTAAATTGAGAATCTGAAAGTCTCTACCTGTATCCTCACTTGAAATTATTTCTATATCATTACATTTCATAATGTGTTATAAAAGAAGAGGCTATTATTACGTATGATGCAGAGGGATAATTTCTAGGGTGATATTTGACTTTCTAATGAAGTGTACTTTTGTACTTTACATGCTAGTATCCCCGAACTGCCTTTAATACACTAAATTCAGGCTTTTGTACATCGACAAGTTACCTTTCAGTAGCACTGCCTTGCAACAAGGTCTATGTGAACATTTTATTGCATACTTCCTTTGTTTTGGAAAATAGTAGTAGAAAGTGGAAAACAAAGTACTATTAAAAGCACAGGTCTCGTAAGATTAACATGACTGAGACAGGACTGGAAATTATGACATAGACCACTAGCAGTAATTGGACGCTGCGTGGATTTAAATTGGTTAATTCTGTGCTCAGCTGTGCAGGGATAAAAGCGTGTATGAAATACATTCACGACACTGTCTAGGGGAACGTGCTCACTGCCTCACTGAGGATTTTTAGTTATACTTAGAAATGTCCCACGTAAGATGAGGCTACTTTTGGGTTTTGTGCGTGTATTTAGAACAGCTCATTGCACGAAAGCAAGGGAATGCCTAAGCCAGTCAGAGAAGGCACACATTGTGCAATGAGGGACAGACTTCTCAGGGCTCCCAAATCTCTGCTTCCTTCTTTCAACCTAACAACCAACCAGTCAATCAATCTACCTTGCTGCTTGGCGTATGAACATTTATTAGCAAACAAACCAGAGAACCATCATATACATTTTTATAGCTCAGGAGATGCTCTCTGTCCTCAGCCACTCATTAATTCATTCTCAGGCAGGTCAGCTTACTGCTTTCGAGAATAAGCTCTGGAGCCAGATGATGACCTAGCTGGAATCCCAGCTCCACCACAGACTGTGTGACCTTAGTTTAGTCACATACCCTCTCTGGGCCTCGGGGTCCTCATTTATACCTATCTCAAAGGGATGCTGAGAGGATTAAAATGAATTAACGCAAATACAGTGCTTTTTGAGCAATTGGCCAATAAATGTTAGCCATCATGCTGATGATCTTTTGGTCATTCATCGGTATCTGCTCCACGCCTTTCTGTCTCAAGTAGTAGGGCTTCAAGACCACTGAGGCCCAGTCCCTGCCCTTAAGGAACTTACGATTTAGAGGAGGATGGAAACAAAAACAGTTCTGCACGTGATTTGTGATAGCACAACTTCACCAGTGTCAGCTTGAGGGAGCAGACACTGTTTCCTTCCATTTTTCTGACTCCTCCATAGATGCTAACATAGGGGCATGCCCGTAGAGGGTTCCAGCCCTCCTAGCAAAGATCCAAGCCCACCTAAGCTCCTCCTGCAGCATTTACCCGTGATTACCCAGCCTGGCTTTCCAAAAATGGGGTTCGCACAGTCTGCTGGTCTGGTCTTGCCCAATTCTCATGGCAGCATCCTGACTAGCTTCCCTGCGCTCACCTCCATATTCCCATCTGCCACTCACCCCGCAGCCAGGAACTTCATCCTAAATCACAAAGTTTATTGACCCTGCTCAAAAAAGTGTATGGCTCTCCATAACCTATGCAAGAAACTCCACACACTTCATCTTTACTTTCATTTAAAACCCTTAAGGAGCTAGACCCACCTGCCTCTCCAGGGGTCTCTACTGGCCCTTCCCTCTCCCATTCATAAGAGATATTCTCATCCTTCCTCACCTTCAGCCCCTTGACTGCCACCCTGCTATTTCACACCACCCTCCTCTGAAGCCTGACCCCTGAAGTACTTACTCTCATGCTGCGGGGCCCTCCCAGTACTTTTACATACCCGGAGGAGCCCTTATCTCAACAGGCAGTAGTGTGAATTATACTACACTGGGCTTGTCATTTTGCATGAGTGATTCCCCCATTAGATGTTAAGTGTCAGAAGGGCAGGGATCAGGTCTGTACCGGAGTACCATACACCCGTCTGAAACAGACTGGGTGTCGGAAAACCTTCACTTGATGAATGCCTGCCTAAATAAGTGGAAGGTTATGCAAGTGAACACAGAGTGGGTGCCCGGAAATACTAGATCAGGGAGAGCAAGACTAGAGACACTGCCAGGGAAATGGGTGATGAGGGAAAGCAGGGAGGGGATTCAAGAATGAGAGGAATGCAAGGTGGGATGAGTAAGGAAAAATTAGGGCAGGATGAGTAAGAGGAAGATGAGGGAGTGAGCATGCAGCAGAGTGAGCAGGAGTGGGATAGATGAGGCAGGGAGCTGAGAAAGGGGAGGGGGTAGGAAAGGGTGCTCAGGGAGCAGGAGTGGTCAGTGAGCCCAGAGGAGGACCAGCCAGGAGGTGGCATGAGTGGGACGGTGCCTTGGGAATCCTGGTGGGTGGAGTGCCAAGTGCATGGATGTTGGGCCTAAAAGCAGAACTGGCTGTGTTCTGAGCAACAGGGTTGGATGCCAAGCTGCATATCCTGGCTCAGACAAAGGTAAGAAAACACACATCAGAGTTCAATTTTGGTTTCCCAGATTGCTAGGGGGCCCAGCTGAACAAAACCAAAGCCAACTGGGAAAGGAGGTGAAGCAGAGGTGAGTCCTGGGACAAGCAAGAGAAGAGTTTGCTGTGATCCTAAGAGACATCACTGGGCTCAAAAGGGGCCCAGAAACCTGCTGCATACAAATCTAATCCAAAACCTTGACTGGTTGGGCAGCCTGGGTGGGTCAGGAGTTTAGTGCTGCCTCCAGCCCAGGGCCTGATCCTGGAGACCCAGGATCAAGTCCCACATCAGGCTCCCTGCATGGAGCCAGCTGCTCCCTCTGCCTGTGTCTCTGCCTCTCTCTCTCTGTGGGTCTCTCATGAATAAGTAAATAAAAATCTTAAAAAAACAAAAAACCTTGACTGGACCTCACTTACCATGGAAAGCAGGCCTGGTGCTGAGTGTCTAAGTTTAAAATTTTCATCTGCAAATGGCCCCCGGTAAATACTGGCAACTCCAGTACCATCTCCCTGAGCAGAGAGAAAGGAAGTGTTAGCAAGTTTTGAGTGTTGGGCATCCCCTGAAGCCCAAAGGAGGAATGCTGCGGCACCACAGCAACACTCTTCAGGTATACTCTTCCTCTTGAAGGTCCCTTTGAGAACCACACCTCTTTGACCCCATTGTACAATCAAAGCCACCCCCATACAAGGCACCTGCAGCCCACAGACTGGCCAGGACACTGCACAGATTGGGTCCGACAGGTCACAGCTAGATTTCTAAAAGCTCGGTTTAGACAGAGGCAAAGTAGGGAACAATAGTACAACCATCATATACATAATCCTTGCCACTCCTGAAGACTCTTGTGCCTGGAGTCAAATAAAATTACCCACTTAACTGACCACTATCCCTACCTCCCCAACCTATGCAAGTGGGTGGGTTCTTGGAAGTCTAGTCTATACAGATACTACTACCCTCCCGATCAGAGCTGATTGCTCCAGGGAAGGATGCCCAAACAATGCAGGACCAACTAAAGTTCCTTCTCTAGGAATCGGGAAAGAGGACTGATGCTACACTTCAAGGTTGAATTTATCATGTAAACCTGGAAGCTAGCAGTGACCATCTTCTGTAAAGCGGACTAGAGAACAGAAAGAGAAGGCAACATACAGGTACAGAGAGCACTGGAGAAACAGAAATACAAGGAGTGCCTCGGTTCCATATGGCTTTCCAGTTTTTAGACCTGTTTCTTCCTTTGGGTTTCATGAAACACCTTATCATAAATCCCCAATTTCTGCTTAAACTAGTTTTATCAGCATTATCTCTTTGCTCTTTCAGTAATCACATGGAAAAAGCACTAACATCTTCCTCATTTTTCAGCGGAGTCGACTTAAATCAGGGTAAAAAAGCAACTAGACCACAGTCATATTTGCAGTACCTTAAGCAGAATCCCTGGGGTCTAAAGGTAATATTGAGAAGGTGCCAAAAGACCAATCTCTTCCAGCCAGTAAGGAAAAAGAATATTGGGTGCATGGCAGAAAGGGAAAGCACTGACCTAGGGCAGAATCAAGGGGCCCTTATTGAGGCAAAGATTACCAAAGGGGATTAACATAAACCAGAGACGGAAAAAAACTGTCAAAATCGAACCTTTATTTGGTTAAAAATTACTAAAACCAAGCTCTGTGTAGTGGAAAGATCTGGATGTGAGTTCCAGATCAATCCTTTATGAGCTGGGAAAGTCACTTCATATCACTGAGCATCACTTCTCTCAACTATCAAGTGAAGATGAAATCACCTGCTCTCTACACTGCTGCCATGAAGATCCAATCAGAAGAGAACCTGCAATTGACACAGCACTATATAAATGTGAGCTATTATACCTTTAACTCCTACATATATACAGAAGAGAAAAACCAGTTCACTTCCAATTTCCCAATAAACCTGGGGGACAGACCATTGCCCACATCCTTTTCTACAATTATGCGATCTATCGCTCTCCAGGAGCCAGAGTAGGGAAAATAACAAAAATTAATTCTCAGGGGATCCCTGGGTGGCTCAGCGGTTTGGCGCCTGCCTTTGGTCCAGGGTGTGATCCTGGAGTCCCGGGATGGAGTCCACGTCGGGCTCCCGGTGCATGGAGCCTGCCTCCCTCTCTCTCTCTCTCTCTCTCTCTCTCTCTCTCTCTCTCTCATAAATAAATAAATAAATAAATAAATAAATAAATAAATAAATAAATAAATGTTAAAAAAAAAACTCTCAGAGCAAACAATAGGCAGTGGCTTAAAAATTAAATAGATACATATTAAAAAAAAAAGCTAACTTAAATTTTTAACAATTGTAGATTGATCAAATAAATTTGTTATCTATTCATAATGGGATATTACATAGCTATTATAACGTGACTTAATGACAAAAATGTAGACAATTATTAAGCATAAAAAAATTAAAATGTATACATGATCTTAAGTCTGCTAAAAATTATATTTGAGATACATACATATGTAACAATAAGACTGGCAGCTATAAACTAAAATGCCAAGAATATATTCCTTGAAAAGCAAGACGCCTTGAGAGATGATTTTCTTTTTTGCACTTCTGCAACCAAAAAATAATTATTAAAACAAATACATATTCTTGGTCCAACTCTAGAAGGTCTCAAATCCTACTTCTGCTTCTTGCTCATTCTATTTTTTCTTTCCTAAGAGTGGCACCAAACAACTGTTTCTTGACACTCAGCCTTCTGGCTGACCGACTATATTGTCTGATCCTGGAGCTATCGGCAAGTGACTGGATGTGCCTGGCAATGACCAGTAAGAAGCTGGTCTTGTCCCTGTTAAGACAATACAGCAACGCGAGCCTATGGGAAGGAAGGAAGGAAGGAAGGAAGGAAGGAAGGAAGGAAGGAAGGAAGGAAGGAAGGAAGGAAGGAAGGAAGGAAGGAAGGAAGGAAGGAAGGAAGGAAGGAAGGAAGGAAGGAAGGAAGAGAGAGAAAGAAAGAAAGAAAGAAAGAAAGAAAGAAAGAAAGAAAGAAAGAAAGAGAAAGAAAGAAAGAAAGAAAGAAAGAAAGAAAGAAAGAAAGAAAGAAAGAAAGAGAGAAAAAAAGAGAGAGAAAAAGGATGAAAAGGAAGAAAAGAGGAAGAAAGGGCAGAGAATAGATTCTTAGCCCTTCTTACCAGGTACCACAAAGTATACAGTTGCCCAGGCCCTACTACCATCAGTGGAAGCCAGGGGTTGCAAACTTGCCCTCCAGGGACATAAGTAAGGGAAGCAGGTGGTAGTGACTGAGGTGAAATGTCAAGGACAGACCCTGATTAAAGGAACAGTTATTTGATTCCAAATCATTGCTGCTACATGAGAAACACAGGCCAAGTGCACACCTGTTTTCCATTCTTTAAAGAGAAAACAAAACTCTGGAATTTTCTGGTGAAATGTCCCAGTTTTACAACATCACACACATGAAACAACATGTATCTAAAATCTGCCACTTTGTAACCTTTCCTAGACAGGAAGGAAGTCTTTAAAAATTCCTCAAAGTTTAACTAAATAAATATACATAAGAAGGAGAAAGACATCTCCCAAGACTCAAGAAAATAGCAACATGACTAACCAAATGATATTAATAAGACCACAGACATGCACACAAGTGGTTGGTTAAGAACAAAAGTAGATTTAAGAAGAGATACGGTTTATTCAGCACCTTCCAGAGTCAGAGGAAGGCGAAGAGGCTTGGTATGAGAGACACATACAGTCTAGTCACAAGAAAGTCCATTAATCGCAGCGAAGAGCCATTCTACTGGGCCCCGCTAGTAAATAGAGGAAACATCCTTCCAGAATGATCTACCTCTGTTGCTCTGGTTCTTTGCCCACTAAATCGGTTTCTGATGAAAAACTCCGCTTTCCAGGCATGTGGAAATAGGACATAAGCATTTAGCTCACTGAAAGAGAGCTTACTGCCATTTAGAAAACAAAACAAAACAAAACAAAACAATTGCATCTGATTTCTATCCAAGTTTCATGTGACTAACTAGTTTGCATCTCTCATGGATCATCTATAGGCATGCTGGGAAAGTTAGCTTCTGGCCCTAAAAGGCTGATTTGGAAGTCAGTTACTCAATCAGGGTGCTGATGTCTGTCACCTAATGGTATAAAGAGTGGAAGCCAGCAACTCTAAAGGACATTCCTGTCACCCCTCTTTCTCATCAAACTTGGTTATTGTTTCAAGCCTCAGGACTGGACTCCATAGCAAAAAAAATAGTAGCAACAGCAGTAATAAAAACCAATATTCCTACAGATCTTTATTAGCAAAGAAATAATACTTACATTAACAAAATCCCCACCCTGGATCATGAAATCTTTTATGACCCTGAAACAGAGAATAAAGGATCCTGAGAGAAGGTTCTGTCATTTAGAAAAACATTGACGTACTCATTATACTTTAGATTAACACTGATTTAAAAATAAAACGTTTTTTAAACTTTGGTATTTTTTTTTAAAGACTTTATTTATTTATTCATGAGACAGAGAGAGAGAGGTGGGGGGGCAGAGACACAGGCAGAGGGAGAAGCAGGCTCCATGCAGGGAGCCTGACGTGGGACTCGATCCCGGGTCTCCAGGGCCACGCCCTGGGCTGAAGGGGGGCGCTAAACCGCTGAGCCACGCGGGCTGCCTCCTTTTTAAAGAATGTTCTGCTCTAAAAAAAAAAAAAAAATGTTCTGCTCTTACTGGCTTTAGCTAATCAGAATCCATCCCTGGGGGTCTGGGGATGGGGGGAGAGGATGCTGAGAACACTGTTAATTGTAACTTTGCACCTACTGTTAATACCTTGGCATTTCTGCTGAATTCAGTTGGCAAAGTTCTGGCGCTAAACCGCTGAGCCACCCAGGGATCCCTTGGTTTTTAATAAGCCTTCAAATCTATTGTTGAGTTCACAAAAAACATTCCTTCTCAAGATCTAGGAATTATCCTATGGTTTTAGTTCCCTCTAAAGAAATGAATCTTACTTTCTTAAGAAAGTAAGAAATTACAGGGCAGCCCGGGTGGCTCAGTGGTTTCGTGCCTGCCTTCGGCCCAGGGTGTGATCCTGGAGACCCCGGATCAAGTCCCGCGTCGGGCTCCCTGCAGGGAGCCTGCTTCTCCCTCTGCCTGTGTCTCTCATGAATAAATAAATAAAATCTTAAAAAAAAAAAAAAAAGGTAAGAAATTACTTTTTTAGAAAGTAATTCTAAAAGCCTGCAGGACGGTTTGCCAAGCCTTACCTGTGGAAGGTGCTTCCTTTGTATCCTATCGGAACCCCATCTTTTCTATAACCAAAAAGAAAGAGACTTGGAATGACGACAAGTAATGACAGGTCCTCCCAGCTTCCCACACACTCGAGCCAAGAGACTCCCTAAAGGTGGTGGGGAGGAGAGAGATAAAGGAGGCAAATGAACTGAAGACAGACCCTTGGGGTATTAACCTTCTACTACCGGCACCAGCAATCATTCAAGGCCTACGGGTGTGGTTCCCCAAAACCCCACTGCGGCCCCGGGGCCACCCTTCAGGAGCGAGCAGACGAGTCACCCGCGTCTGAGAGACTGACCTGAATTCTCCAGTGCAGAACTGCCTGAAAGGGAAAAGAGCAGGGATGCTTCAGTCTCGGTGACCCCACAGCGGGGGGCGCGCCTGGCGCAGAGGGGCGGGGAGGGGAGCGCGGCCTGAGCCCCCCGCGGGCCCGCCGGCCTCGACACCCAGAATTACGATGAGCTGAGATGGGAAAGGTAAAAACAGGGACAATTCGGAGCTCCGATCTCAAGGGCGGGGAGCGGGCCGGCACGCAGGCCCGGTCCGGCTCCCGGTTCCGATGAGCATCCCTTACCTAAAATTCTCGGCCGTCTTCGGCACAACGTCTGCAAAGAGCTCGATCTTCATGCGGCCGACCTCCTGCAGGCGGCGGGACACGGTCAGAAGGCCTCAGCGAGCAGGGATCCGGAGGGGCGACCCGGGCCCCCCCGCCCCCCCGGCGGGGCGCTGGGATCCGCGAGACGACTCCTCTCCCTCCCGAGCCCCCCGCCCCGCAGGTCGGTAGGTCCCGGTCCAGCTTCGCCTTCTGGCTTCCCGAGTCCGCTATCCCCGGGTGCGGGAGACCCTCCCGGCCGGGCCTGGAACCTCACCTGGCCGCCGATGCTGACATCAAAGAACACCACGGGATTGACGGGGCTTGAATTTGCCACCGCCATGGCTCCGACCCGGAAGCAGTAGCCGCAGGCAGCGGTTCCGGCGAACCCGAGCCCCGATTTCCGGGGCTTCTACTCGCCGGCGCAGGCGCAGGCAGAGCCACCCGAGGCCAGGCCCCGCCCCCCGGAAGTCCCGCCCCCTGCGGAGCGCTCCCGGCCTCCGGCGCCGAAACTGGGCGTCGCGCAAGTGGGCGGGGCCAGGGCCTCCGGCGACGTACACGCCGCGTCTTTCCCCCTCCGCTCAGTGTGCGCCGCGGCGGCGGCGGCAGCGCGGGAGGCGGTGGGTCCCGGCTGCTGGACCCTGAGCGCTCGGGTTAAGCCGGAACCGGAGTTCTGGTTCTGCTCGCGAGCTGCCCCTCTTGTGACCTACCGTTCATTCCTCCTGGAGCTTTTATTTATTTTTTCCCCCTTTTAAAGATTTTACTTATTTAATCACGAGAGAGAGAGAGAGAGAGAGGCAGAGACACGTGCAGAGGGAGCAGCAGGCTCCACGCAGGGAGCCCCACGTGGGACTCGTTCCCGGGTCTCCAGGGTCACGCCCTGGGCCGAAGGCAGGTGCTCAACCGCTGAGCCACCTGCCTGCAGCTAGAGCTTTTAAAATAAACCTGCTTATAGATCCTTCCTGGCCTCCCATCCTTAGCTCTAGTGCCTACTATTGAGTAGCCCATAGTGAGGATCCAATAAATAGATTCAATGAATTGAGTGGGAAAAGGTGACCTTGGGCAAGGCTTAAGAGTCACAGCATGTATCTGATATCATAGCTATTGTGTCCTATATCCTTTGATCATCCTTTTTGGCCAGTTGTCTGCGGAAGCAGGGGTTACATGTAAAAACTCAATGTCTCAGCTTAATGGTGTCTTTTTTATTTTTAGTTACTTTTCCTTTCCCTTTGGTATCCTTCTCTATCTCCAACTGAAGAGGGAGAGGAGAGTAGGAGGGAGAGGAGCAGGATGGGAAGAAAGAACAGCAGGAGTCACCCTTCAGTATAGTTTATACCAACTATTCTAAAATAATTTTTTTAATTGGTAATATCCAATGTTGATGAGGTTGTGGAAAAACCAGTGCTAGTGAAAATAAATGATGCCTAGCATTTGTTAAGCAGCTACTAAGTTCTAAATACACATTTCATTTAATTTGGTCCTCACAACTCTATGGGACAGGAATGACTACTGATCCCATTTATGGATCAAGAAATTGAGGCTTAGAGAGGTTGACCATAGGGGCACCAGTGGCTCAGTCGATTAAGCATCTGACTGCATCTCAACTCAGGTCTTGATCTTTGGGTGGTGAGTTCAAGCCCCACACTGGGCTCCATGCTGGGTGTGGAGCCTACTTAATAAAAAGAAAAGACAAGAAAAAAAGTCTGACTATAGAAACATTACGTTGACACAAGTTTTTCTTCTTTTTTTAAAGCAACGCTACAAGTGATGTACCAAAACTGTATAACATTTGTGTCTTCTGGCCCATAACTGCCAATCTTTTCTGGAGTAACTCGAGAGAAAAGAAGAGTTATATTCGCAAAGACTTTCACCACAGCATAATCTCAAATAGTGAAAAAGCAGAAACAACTTGAATGCAAACAAGATAATTTATAGAACATCAACGTGATAGAATATCATGTGGCTACTGAAAGAATAATTATGAAGACTGCTGAAACACAGGAAAATGTTTTATGGTGTGTATATATATATATATATATATATATTTAAAGATTTATTTATTTAATTATTTATTTATTTATTCATGATAGACATAGAGAGAGAGAGGCAGAGACACAGGAGGAGGGAGAAGCAGGCTCCATGCCGGCAGCCTGACTTGGGACCCGATCCTGGGACCGGAGGATGGCGCCCTGGGCCAAAGGCAGGTACTAAACCGCTGAGCCACCCAGGGATCCCCTGTTTTATGGTATATTAAGCTAAAAATCAGACTGTGAAAATGAACATATAACAACCACTTAAAAAATATATGCATTTGAATAAGAACCAAAAAGGAATGTATGAAAATAGTTGTGTTAAGAATGCCGGATTAGAGGAGATTTTTCTCTTTAAAGTATTTGCTTTAATATGATTACGTTGTTTTTACTTTTCAAAAATAATTAATACCCATGATAATAGGGGGGAAAGTGCTGAATTAGACATATATGTGCTCTGCTGAACAGAACACTAAGTAAACCATTGAACTTAAGTCATTATTATTGATCAATACAAAGTTACTTGAGGATATCAAACACACTTGAGAAATCTATTTTTATAACTGGTTTAATGAATTTATCAGCAATTTCAAAGACTGTCAGTTGATGTCCAGTGGGGATCTGTGGTAATTCTTCTCCATGTCATGTTCCACCCTCACACCCAAGCTTTAAGTTAGCAGCTTCGATCAGTCTAGTTTTAGCCACCAGTGATTTTATGGTTCTGACTTTTGGTCTTGTTCTTGGATGCACTGTGTCTCTTTCAGAATAGTCACTTTTATGTATCCAGGTTCAGAATTCTGTGAACCCTAAAGAGACTTGGGGGACTTCAAGGTTTGCGATTGCTTCTTCTGACTTACGTTCCTCAAGCTCTTGAAGGTTTCTGACTGACTGTACCAAACCTCTTCCTGAAAAACTAAGAATGGCCATTTGTGAGGACTTTGTGAAAACGGGATCTCTTGATAGCACTCTGGGATTACAGGGATAAGGTATCAATTGGATTTCAGTTTTTTACAAGAGTCAAATACAAAGAAAGTCAAGTAACATTTACCTTAAATTTATGTTCAGGGATTACTTTCTACCTTAAGTCAAGATTCTGTCAGATATGGGGGTGAAGAGGTGGAAAAGAGAGAAGGAAATGGAAAAAGATTCAAGTACTAAGTATAGAAAAATCACCCCCAAATGCTATGGTTTGTCAAGCTAGCAACTCAGGAGGGGTTAGGCTGCCATGACTCTCAGGCTTGCAGATGATTGTCTTGACTTTACTAACCTGGAGCTTGATAACGGCAAGATTTTACTCCATACTTCAAGTTCAGGGACGTCATTAATTGTCTCCTAAAAGAAAAGAAAGGATTGCATATTTAAAATTATAAGCCATTGGCAATATGATCCTAAAATGTATGCTTTATATATATGTTTGGCTAAAGATTTAATTCACTTACCTCATACCTATTAGAATGGCCATCATTAAAAAAACAAAACAAAACAAAAACAAAAACACAAGAGATAACAAATCCTGGCACAGGTGTGGAGAAAAAGGAACCCTTGTGCACCATTGGTGGGCATCTACATTGGTGCAGCCACTGTGGAAAACAGTAGGGCAGTTCCTCATAAAACTAAAAACAGAAATGCCATATGATCCAACAATTCCACTTCTGGATATCCAGAGAAAATGAAATCACTGTCTGAAGATATCTGCACCCCACGGCCTCATGTTTATAGCAGAATTATTTACAACAGCCAAGACATGGAACCTAAGTGTCCATGGATTGATAAATGAATAAAGAAAATGTGATAAACACACATGGAATGTTATTCAACTATGAAAAAAAAGGAAATCCTGCCATTTGCAATGACATGGATGTACCTTCAGAGCATTATTCTAAGTGAAATAAATCAGAGAAAGACAAAAACTACATGGTTTCACATATATGTACAATCTAAAAAAAAAAAAACTCATAGAAGCAGAGATCAGATTTGTGATTGCCAGAGGTGAGGGTGTGGTGGATGGAGGAATTAGTTGTAGGTGGTCAAAAGGCAAAGACTTCCAATTATAAGATAAATTCTGAGGATGTAATATACAGAGTGAAGACAACATTTAACAGTACTGTACTGTATATTTGAGAGTTGCTAAGACAGTAGATCTTAAAAGTTCTCATCGCCAGGAAAAAAATTGTAACTAAGTGAGGTGATAGAGGTTAATTAATCTTACTGTGATAATCATTTTGCATTGCATGCATATATCAAATCATTATGTTATACAAATCAAAGTTACACTTTTTAACTTATGCAATGAATGTTATAAGTCAATTACACCTCAATAAAACTGAAAAAAAAAAGTATTCCCTAAATACCTATAGAATATCTGGTAATTCTAAATCTTACATTTTTACATTAGCACTTCCATTGTAAGCCTGCTTATTATATCTATTTTCCTACATGAATTACCTCATATTAGCTGATAAAAATCATTCTGTTTTATTTACTTAGGTAAGGTTTTACTTAGTACTCTGGTAAATATTTTCTGTCCCTTTAAATTATGAAAAAAGTATTTTTTTCATAAAATCTATGACTTTAAAAACCAAACACCCTTTCTCACAGAAACCAATCCACAGAGACCAAATTTTACATATGATTATGAGGGTTTAGTAATTCTCCGAAACTTGGACCTCTGTTTAACCTTTTTATAGGCCAGTTTGTTTCTGTAAGAAATTTTTAGTTATCCTGAAATAAATGAGAAACTTCTATAAGGAGGAAAAAACTAGCATTCGGAGAAATTTATAATGTGTGAAAAATATTACTAGACTAGGAGTTAGGAGAGCAAGGCTTGAATTCTGGCTCTACTAGTTGTTAGACTCTGATACATCCTGTCACCTCTCTGCGTTTTGCTTCCTACATTTAAAATGTAAGAATAACAATTAATACCTAATCTTTCAGGGGTATTGTGAAAATTAATTAACATAAACATATCTAACATATGGGAAGAACCCAATAAGTGTTCAATATAGAAACAAGTGTATGTATATGCAGTGAAAGAAAGAAGCTATATATATTTTAAAGATTTTATTTATTTATTCATGAGAGATACAGAGAGAGAGAGATGCAGAGACACAGGCAGAGGGAGAAGCAGGCTCCATGCAGGGAGCCCGACGTGGGACTCGATCCCAGGTCTCCAGGATCACACCCTGGGCTGAAGGCGGCGCTAAACCGCTGAGCCACCAGGGCTGCCATTTTTTGAATGCCATTTATTTGCCAAGCAACACACTTGGTACTTTATATGCATTATTCTAATTATTCTACTTTATCGCCAGTAGCCATATTTGAAATTCATTTACTGATTCATTGATTCATTCATTCATTCTTGTGGAGATATAATTCACGCAATATACAACTCAGTCATTTAAAGTGCACAATTTGGGGCGCCTAGGTGGCTCAGCTGGCTAGGCATCTGACTCTTGGTTTCAGCTCAGGTCATGATTTCAGAGTCATGCGATCAAGCCCTGTGTTGGGCTCCACACTCAGTATGGAGTCTGCTTGTCCCTCTCCCTCTGCTCCTTCCCCCTGCTTGCACTTTCCTTCTCTCTCTCTCTCTCTCTCTCTCATATATATATATATAAATAAATAAAAGTAAAGTGCACAATTCAATGGTTTTTAGTACATTCACAGGGTTGTACAACCATTGTTACAATTTAAAAAATCTTCAGCACCCCCAATATAAACCTAATACCTTTAGCTACACCTCCCATCCCTAAATGATTCAGCCCTAAGCAACTACTCATCTACTTCTATGTTTATATAGTTGCCTATTCTGGATATTTTATATAAATGGAATTGTATAATATATGGTGACCGTTTTTCTCATTTCACATATCTTTAAACTTTGTCTGCATTATAACATGGATTAATGCTTCATTCCTTTTTATGGCTGAATGATATCCTGTTGTATGGATGGATATAACACATTTTATTTTATCCATCATCTGATAGACATTTGGATTGTTTACTTCTTGGCTATTATCAATAATGCTGCTCTAAGTCTTTATATACAGAATTTGGTGTGGAACAACCACCTTTGAGTGTTATTACTACATTTTCCCAGATTAGGGAACTAGAAAGTGAATTAGGTTTCCTTTCTTCACACAGCTAGTAAAATGCTGAGCTGGGATTTGAGACATGAGGTGCTTTGAGAAAATATATCAAGGACACAAAGCCATATTTTGAGAGGGGAGGATTCAGAAAAAGCTTTATGGAAGAGAAGATATTTAGTTGAATTCTGAGGGACAGTAGGAACAAGCCAAGAGAAAATCTGGTGGATGGAAGTCATGGGAGAAGGCAGTGGAGGGAGAGGGGTTTCCTAGAAGAGCCTAAAACTGATAGAATATAGAATTCAAAGACCTGTACAATGTGGAACCCTAGAGTGGAGAGGGGAACCAATGAGAGATAAGAAGGGTGAGAGTGGCAGAGGCCAGGTTGTGGAGAATATGAAGACTGTGTTGGAAAATTTGGGTTTTATCAACGAGACTGTGTTAAGTCATTGAATAGCTTTGAGTCATAAACTCAGATTATATTTTGTAAAGACCCCTCTGGCTATAGACTAATAGAACAAAAGGACTTCAAAAGACAAAAGCCAGGAAGATGGGATATGTCTTTCCAAGTAAGGAAAATATATGATCCAGAGGGAGGAAACTTCAGAGCTTTGGGTGAAACAGCAAATAGATCTGTTTCATTTGATCAAGTTTGTTTGATGTCAGAAAGTTATTTGGACCATGGGAAGTTCCTGTGTGGCTTCAGTTCTTCTGGCTTAGACATCAACAACTCTGGAAGCCTTCCCTAACTACCCCAGACAGGTCTAGATGCCATTCCACCTGCTTTCACAGCATTCTGGGCCTACCGCTATTGAGGTGCTTATCACAGTATATGGTAGATATGACTTTCACTCTCACTAGGGCTGAGTGCAGGGAGCACAAACACTGTATCTTGTACATCACCATATCCAAACCACAAGGGGGACGGTGTGAAACCTGGCACACTCTATATGCCTAATAAATATTTGTTGAATGAACTTTATCTGATAGACAAAGCAAGTCTCTGAAACTCTGTGAGATGAAGAACTACGAAGGCAGGCAGTGTTTCATTAAGATTACTCTGGAGGCATGGGCAGGACAGATTACGAGGGAAGAGTGAAAGGAGATGAGTGAAATTGTTGCTGTAACCCAGGTACTAAGTGCTTGGGATATGGAGGATAACACGGTGAACATAGCTCCTGCTCTCATGGAGTTTACAACCCAAAAGAGAGAAAGATGGGATTACAATGCAGGAAGCAACATGGTCTCTTACCAGCCTATGTCTCCAGTTATGCCAATACCCCAAATGGGAAACAGTAGACGTGGGGTATTACGAGGTAACGGCTAAGAACAGAGAGAGTTGGTTTCAGTCCTTGCTCTTCTATTTATTAGCGATATGCCTTGGGCAGTGATGTCACTTCACCTCACTAGAGCTCAATTTCCTAAGCTGTGAAAATGGCAAGGTTATTTTGTAGATTAAAAGAGATAATGTACATAAAATGCTTAGCAAAGTACCAGACGCATAGCAAGCACTCAATAAATGTCAGACTCTCACCATTTTAGTCTCTGAGGTGTTGCAAGGAAAGAGGAGATCTAGGATATGTCTGATCTCTATATCTGATCTGTTTGTAGTATGATACTCAATCATTGAGAATCAAGAGACGTGGGAAATGTCAGCAGTAGCTGTGTGACTCAGGTACAACATTAACCTCTCTCGAGTTTCATTGCCTTCCCGTATAAAATGAGGGGACTGAAGTGGAAGATTCTTAAGATTCTAAGCTTAAAAACAATTTTGGAGTTGTTTTAACATATATGAAGATGTTACCAGTTGGTACTTTTGTTCCACATGAAATGTGGAGTTTGATATACTGTAGTCCTGACCCATGTCACATTTCTTATCTTGTTTGAGCATAATATGGTGGCAATCAAAGCTATTGGTCCTAGTATATACTCCATTAAGGCTCTAACTCAGTACCTATAAGACTATATAATGCTTATTCATGTATGTCTGTCCTTCTCTACTTAACTAAAGATTTCGAGAAACAGGGTCTATCTTCATATTCTTAGGATTTAGCATAGTTCTGAATGAATAAGTATACTGTGAATGGCTAGACAACTGAGAACAGTTGTAGCTCAAGCAAAAACATAAACTGTTGGAAATCAAGCCCATAATCTGGCAGTTCTACTTTTGACAAAATCTACAAAACAACTCATATGCCTTAGGAATAATTACCTTTATTTTATTTTTTAAAAAATTTTTTTACCTTTCTTTTAAAAAAGATTTTGTTTATTTATTTAAGAGAGAGAGTGAGCAAGAGCAAGAAGTTGGGGGAGGAATGGAGGGAGAGGGAGAGAGAGAGAGAGAGAGAGAGAGAGAGAGAGAGAATGAGAGAGAGAGAATCCCAAGCAGATTCTGTTCTGAGTGTGGAACCTGATATGGGGCTTGATCCTGCAAACCTGAGACCATGACCTGAATTGAAATCAAGAGTTGGATGCCCAACTGACTGAGCTACGCAGGGACCCCAGAAATAATCACCTTTCTGAGAATAAATCAGATGTGGGTCTTATGCTCATACCAATAGTACCCAACAAACAGAATCTACATGAAATATCTTGGGAAGAAACATCTAGCAGAAGATATAAACCAGGGGAGAAAGCAAGCAGCCTCTGCATCCTGGATTCAGAATGCAACTCTGTTCACTGAAGTCCCTTTTGCTGACACATTGACCAGCCAGACTCTGGACCTTCTCTGAACCTATACTATTTGCCACAGCTGTCTGGACTCTGCTACTTGTCTACTTGGATTTCTGTACGTTAATTGCTTTTCTCTGACTCCAGGGTTCTCCTCAGGCTTGACTCATTGCCAGACCAGACTATCTCCATTTACCTCTCTGAGCCTCAGACTGCTCATTTCTCAGGGCTAGAATAATCCATGGCAAACAGGTTTGAGAATGAGGCATACATGTGAGAATATTTAAATTCATTCATTCTCAAATATTTATGGAGCACCTGTCTATAGATACAATGACAGATGAGATACAATACTTGCCCTTCAGGATCTCACTGCTGAGTTAATGAGAGAAGAAAAAAGGCAATGATGATATAGTGCTAAGGAAAAAGCTATGAGACATGTACAAATCTCTTTGGGATAATGTAGGGGGAGAGTGTTTACTAAAAGCTGACCCAGGGGTGCCTTGGTGGGTCATTCAGTTGGGCATCTGACTCTTGATCTTAGCTTGGGCCTTGATCTCAAGGCCATGAGTTTGGGTCCCAAGCTGACCTAATAAAGAGCAAAGTTGGCCAAGAGGAGTCTCAGAGTCTGTTGCTCTGGTGCAGCCAATGAGCCTCTTTGCCACAGTCCACTATGACGCCAAGTGCAGCCTACAGCTACATGAAGATGAAGGGAAGGGACACCTGGGTGGCTCAGCAGTTGAGCACTTAGCAAAGTACTTAGCAAATCAGCCCAGGGCATGATTCCAGAATCCCAGGATCGAGTCCCACATTGGGCTCCCTGCATGGAGCCTGCTTATCCTTCTGCCTGTGTCTCTGCCTCTCTCTCTCTCTCTCTCTCTTTCTCTGTCTCTCACAAATAAATAAATAAGATCTTTTTTTTTTTAAAAAGGAATACATTTAAAAACAAAGATGAATGGAAGAGACAACACAATAACCTTGGCAACTAGGCTTCATATGAAGGACACGCAAAAGCACACATCTTACCTTTTCTTCATAAATCTGCATGCTCTTTATGATTCGCTTTAAGAAGCCAACGTGCTGTGTAAGCCGGAGGCTGATTTCCCGCAATTGCTTATTTTCTTGATCCAGAAGAAAGACTCTAAGAATGGGATAGATCAGAGGGATAATTGAAACTTTCTGTATAATTACTAAAACTCAACACTATGTCCCACTTCCCACCAGCTCTGGGTCCTAGCCCACTGCCTAGATTATGTTTGGCAGAATGATTCCCACCATGTTCCAAGACCAAGTAGAAACTAATAAGCTTCTGGACCATACATAGTCACTAAAAACATATTGAGAACAGAGACATACCATATGCAAGAGTGTGGAAGGCACAGTTCTAGCCCTAGAGAAATGTGATGAAGGATATGGTCCCATTTAGGGGTGGGACTGAAACAAGAGACTCTGCATCCCTTCAAATATTGTAGCTACACAGCCTGCTTCTGGTTCTAATCTCATGCAGTTCTCCCATACTTTTGTAGCAGTAGCGGAGCAGCAGCAGTAGCAGCAGAAGCAGTAGTAATAGTAGTAGTAGCAGCACTAGTATTAGTAGTGGCAGCAGTAGCAGTAATAATAATAGTAACAGCAGCAGCCATAGTAACAGTAACAGTAATAGCAGCAGCATCAGTAGTAGTGGTAGTAGCAGCAGTAGTAGTGGTACTAAAAGCAGTAGTAGCAGCAGCAGTAGCAGTAATGATAATAGTAGCAGCAATAGCAGCAGCAGCTGTAGTAATAGCATTAGTGGTAGTAGCAGCAGCAGTTGTAATAGCAGCAGTAGTAATAGTAGTAGAAGCAGCAGTAGTATTAATAATAGTAGCAGCATTAGTAGCGGTAATAGTAGCAACAGAGTAATAGCAGCAGCAGCAGTAATAGTAGCAGCAGCAGCAACAGCAGTAGCAGTAGTGGTAGCAGCAGCAATAGCAGTAGTAATAGTAGAAGTAGAGCAGCAGTAGTAGCAGCAACCTTTTACCACGTACTTACCGTGTGTTACGCACTGTAACCACCCACAGAGTAAACACTTAAAACCGCTCATGTATTGGCTCATTCGATCCTCACAACAACTCCATGAAATCACTATCATTATGGAGCCCATTTTACAGATGAGGAAACTGAAGCCCAGAAAAAAGCAACTTGTTTAAAGACATAAAAACCAGAAAGTCGTAGAACTGAGATGCCAATCCAGATCTTTCAGACTTCTAAGCCTGAGTTCCTAACCAATATTCCAGGCTCACTATCCAGGGCCATGGTTTATTTGGGACACATGAGGATACAACAGTGTGGGTTGGAGATTTGTGTTTGAGTTCTGGTTCTGCCACTTACTAGCTGTGTGATCCTTGGCAAATTACCAAACCTGAGCCTCAGTTTTCTCATCTGTAAAAGGAAGAAGCACCCTGTAGAAGAAACTTACTCCAGTTTCTGGAGTAAGTAAACTGTAAGTAACTGTAAGTAACTCTTGTAAGTAAAACATACAAGTCCAATCCAGATGGCCAGAGTGTGTCTTTAGGAGGGTAAGATGAGAACATCATTAATGTTAAGGCACGGGTAATAAGTCAGTTGTGTTGGGAATGTCAGAATCAATGACATAGTTTGAGAAGGGCAGTGGCTTATATAGAGTATATTCAAGGCGAGACACAGATAATAAGAGATAATCAGAGACTCCCCAGGCCTGCCTGGAGAAGTGTGTGTCCACAATAGCAGAAAGGAGAGTTCCAGGCTACTGGACAGATCTCCCCACAGACTGTGGGCTGTAGGGCCAAGCTACTGAGGTTCACACACTACTGTGTCACTGACCAAGCTGCCTGAGCTCCCAAACCTTTCTGGACCTTAGCTTTCTCACCTATAAACTAAGGCTAATCCCAGAGCATTCCTCGTGGATTGGTGTGAGGCTTGGTGAGAGAGCGAACTTACATCAGTGCCTAGCACATAGTAAACGCCCCCAAAATGTCATCACTATAGCTATTATTGGTGACTCTATGTGTTAAGATCAACCCATTCTCTTTGCCCTAATTCTGTGCTCTTTGGTGAAGGAGAAACCTCTATGGAGAATTCACTGGCTCCTCAGGCAGGATCGCACCTACCTGTTCTCAACTGAAGATATTACGCATTTGTTGCTGTGGGTTAATTGTTCTTGGTCTAGGAATTGTTCCAGAAGTTTCCTTTTCTCTAGGAGCAGTATATCATTTTGAGCAATGACCTGGTCCCGGAATGCCTTATCCTAGAGATCATAAAGCCCCTCGTTACTGCAGGAGGAAGAATTACGAAATGGACAGCAAATTTCCTTTTTCTATTTTTCCTCTCTTGCCCCCTAGGTTGTCTTCACCTATTTGCTGATGTTGCCAGCTATATAGTTCTTTTGTTGATTTTGGTCATTTTAGGTCCTGCTTTTTTTTTTTAACAATTAATCATTCTTCTGGCTAACAGTTAAAAATATCTGAGCACTCAACTTCCAGGAAGATCCCAAGGCTTTCATGTATATTCTATTTTTTTTCATGTATATTCTAATATCACAGGGTATCAAATCACTAACAAATACAACTGAATCCCCTAAAGCTCCAGTTTGACATTTTTCCTTATAACACATCTCCATCTGCAATGTGGTGATAGTCTTAGGCAAAGAGAAGAGATGGGAATTTAGCCCTCAAACTTGGCAACCAGCATCAGGATCTTAGTTGGCTTGGCAAATCAAGCAGGTAAGCCAGCTACTGAGAATATCTTTGTGGAGATCAGCCCAAAGAGACTTCTAGCTTGACACCAGGTTTCATTTCCTACCAACAATTTCCCAAAAAGCAATAGCTAGCGAAGCTATAGCTAAAATGATAAAGGAGGGTAGCTTGTGAAAAAATACTAATGTTTTTATATTGAAAGAGTCAGTGGATATTAATAAATATCACTGTTGGTGAGGAGTTCAGAAGCTCAAAAGTGTAGACTTGCCCTTTTCACATCAGTGATGACCTGTCACTGGTAAGTGCCTTCACCCTTCTGTGTTTGTTCCCTACCTGCCAAAGGCAGGAGTGAGTGGGGATGGGAAGAGAATAATGAGCTGCTGGCAGATGGTGAATCATAGAGTTAAGAGGGGCAACTTTCTTACTATCTTTTAAATAAGGCACCGATATAGATCATCCAGAAAAGACTCCATCTATTATTCAAGAATTGTAAGAAAGGATATGACATTATGTTCTGAAACAAACCACTCCAGATTTTAAAGTCCCGCAGCCAGGACCCTTCAATGTCTAACAATAGTCTTGTCTGCTCTTATTTAAGTACGTTTTTGGTAAGGATTGAGAATAGAAGCAGTCATCCCACTGATAATACTCTGCAGTTACAACTGGATTAGAAAGGAATCTGGATGGGGCAGGCTCCTGAAACTCTGCCCTTTGGAAATGCCTTATTCTTTGAACCAGAAAATCGGACATCTACTCTAATAAAAGGATAAAATATTTGGAGAAATTTGATTTGGATGTTTACAACAGGCAAGAGACTCAACAGGCTCACTGTATAAAGAGAAGGCTAAAGGAATGAAGTCCAAAAAAAGCGGCATTACTTTCTGGAGACTTGGTGATTGGAAGGTGAGCCCAGCTCTGGTCCGTGGGCCCTGAAATAAGTAAAATCAGGACCTCCAGGTTTGTACCACTGTGGCATTAGTATTTCCTATTCTATTAACAATTTCTCTTGTGAACTTGCATATACCAATTAACATGTTTCTAAGAGAGCGTATACCAAGAGAGAAGAAAATAACATCTATGTATAGTTGTCTGTGTCAGGTGCCACTCTATGGCATTTCCTATTTTAACTGCACAAAAGCCTTATGAGGTGGGGATTAGTTCTGGCATTTCATGATGGAAAACAATACCCAGAGACTTGTGCCAGGTCACAGAACTATTCAGTGGCAAGTCAAGATTTTGCGTCTAAGGCCAAAACCCACAGCACCCTTCAATGGCAGTAGGCAAAGGGACCAACTGCCCTTCCTTAGCTCTGCATATTTGCCATATCCAGAGTATTTCCTGGAGATCTGTTGTTCTCTGGGTAGATGTGTCAGATTCCCAGGGCTGCTGTAACAAATTACCACAAACTGGATGGCTTAAAACAATAGGACCTGTTTTTCTCACATGTCCGGAGGCCACAAGTCTAAACCTGGGAGTGTTGGCTGGGTTAGTTCCTTCTGCCTCTCTCTCAGCTTCTGGTGCTTACAAGCAGTCCCTGGTGCTCCCTGGTGTAGCTGCATCACCCCAACAGCTGCCTCCACTATCATGCAGTCTTCTTCCCCTGTGTGTGTCTACATGTGCTGGCTCTTCTCATAAGGACACCAGTCATACTGGATTTGAGGCCAACTCTAATCCACTATGACCTCATCTTAACTAATTACACCCGCAAAGACCTTATTTCCAAGTTAGAGCACATTCTGAGGTTCTGGGGAGACACAAGTTTGTGGAGGACGCTCTCTAACCCAGCACAGTCAGGAAGAAAGTAAACATGCCTGCTGAAAGTAGGAGGCTGTTTCTGTCATGTAACCCTAGGAGTGGAAGGCAGGCAGTACAAGAACGTGGCAATGCAGAAGTAGGCTGATATTTCTGGTGGGCCCATGAACCAGGATTGCTACTTTCATCTGTATACTTTTGTGTACTTTTCCTAGTTGTGAGTCTAACCTAGATCTGAGTCTTTAAAAGTTTGACAATTTCGTGCCCAAATAGAAGGATACAGCAAAATCCAACTTATTTTCCTTTCTCACTATAGCGTGGAGTATCAGGAGGATTTTTTTTAAACACTGGTGACCCATCTGTTATAATCCAAAAATGTTTTATTGTGTGTAGTCTAGAATTCTTAACCATCCCATAATAGCCCATGGAATGACTGAAACTGCATGAGTTCTTTCGGGATCCTTGGCACACACATAGCAATGAGTATTTTAGGAGCAAGCACAGAGTTTTCAAAATTCTGATGGGCTAAGGATCTCAAGAAGGGAAAACATTACTGGCTCTCCACTTTGAATTCACATAGCTTAATGATCTCCAGACCATTCTGCAGCTGATTCCATGCCATCTGTGTCATTTTCTTCCTGCCTACCACTAAGTCACAGGGGCAATGGGACAAGGATGAAGCAGCCATGAGTATTGAGAAAAAAAGCCTAGAGACACTACACAAGCATTGATAAAGGAACACGAGTCACCCACTTCCTCTGCCATTTAAAACTGGCAGAAGTTCGATGGAAACTGAGCGCAATATGAAGTAGGAATGAGTTACTGAGGGTCCTTTGGAAGTCTCTGCTGATGCATTTAAGAGAAGACATTTTCATTTGAAAACAAGACACTGATTGGGGTCGGAAGGGCACGGTATTTTCAGTGTCTGATCCGTTTTAGCGACACCATGAGTCTTACTTTTTTTTTTTTTTTGGCAGAATTACACCGAAAGAAGGTGCAAGGGAAAGAAATGAGAACCTAGGGTATGAAAAGATTGCAAGATAATTAAAGCAGAAGGGGACTTTCTCGAATGAGCCGAGCCACAGCACATCAGGGAGCTCTTCAACATTTCTGCTCACCGTTTCCTTTTCTTGATGCAGAATTCTGATTTCATGTTCCAGTTTTTCAATTTTCTTATCTCGTAGTTCTACTTCGTGAACTAAACGGTCCTTAACTCTGCGAAGTTTGGCTTTGTGGTGCTGATGTTTCTCATTATAGTTCCTATAAAAGTAAATTTAAACAAAGTGCAGCTGAGCAGAGTGAAAGTTTATGTTGCTTCCTCAGTACGCACCTATCTTAGGTTTCCTTCTCTTGCTTTCTTGAGGCCTGCCACCAGATGTGGATACTTGTCCTGCCTCACATCTGTAGGACTTCTGGCCCCCAAGGTAGGGGAATGGACCAAGGGTAATCTCCTAAATAGCAGCAGCTTTAGTCACCCCCAACCCAGGAAACTCTTTGACATCTATTTCTGATTCCTGCTCCATGGAATCAGTAGTTGAGTTCCTAGTTCTTGGCTATATGCTTGGACAGTGATAAACCCACTTCAACCTCCGATAACTGAGTCCGCTCTCAGTCCTTGCCTGAGTCTGGACTTCTGAAGGCCAATTCTACGTAGGTCTCTGCTCAAGACTCTAACTCAGATTCCGACATAAATCAAACTTACCGCCAGCAAGCCCATGAGAAGATACTCAACATCATTAGCCATTAAGGAAATGTAAATCAAAGCTACAGTGGGATACCTCTCCACACCCCCTAGACTGGCTAAAATAAAACAAACAACAAGTGCTAGGAAAGATGCAGAGAGATTGGAACTCTCAAACACTGCTGGTAGGAATGTCAAACGGTGCAGCCTCTTTGGAAAAAGCCTGAAAGTTCTTCAAATGGTTCAACAAAGAGCCCTGGGACCTAGCAGTTCCACCCCCAAGAGAAAGGAAATGAAAACACATCCATGTGAAAACTTGTATATGAATATTCATAGTAGCACTATTCACAATAGTCAAAAGGTGGAAACAACCCAAGACCATCAACTGATGGATGGATTAACAAAATATGGTATATTTGTACAATGGAACATTATTCTGGCACAAAAGGGACAACGTACAGATCCATGCTACGACACAGATGAACCTTGAAGGCATTATGTTAAGTGGAAGAAGTCAGTCACAAAGGACCACATATCATATGATTGCATTTCTATGTCCAGAACAGGCAAAGGTAGAGGGTTCCTGGTGGCCTACGGTTGGGGGCAGGGAGGGAAAATGGGGATGGCTAAAAGGTTTCTTTTGGGGGTAACAAAATGTTCTAAAATTGATTGTGGTGATGGATGTACAACTAAAGCCACCGAATTGTACACTTTAGTGGGTGAACTGTATGGTATGTTAATTATATCAATAAACTGTTTTTTAAAAGAAGGACAAAAATCTACATTACCATTTCAAGCTACTATAAACAGCTAATCTGAGTAAACAAGAAAATAGATTAAAGCCCGGATACCCCAACTAGGCAAGCGTCTTTGAAGATGACTGTGCTTTCCAAATAAGGATATGGTTATTCAAGAAGCACCTCTTCAAATTAAAAATTGAGGAGATATCTTACTTTGAACCCATTAGGTCTGATAACACAAAATCACTCTAAACTAGTGTTTCTCGACCTCTGTCCTGTTGACAATCTGTGCCAGGTGATTCGTTGTTGTGGAAGCCTGTACTGTGGTGTGTAGAATGCTTACACAGAATCCTTGGCCTCGACCCACCATATGCCAGGAGTATCTTCTACCGTGTGACAACCCCAAATATCTCCAGACGTTGCAAAATGTTCCCTTGTCCGGGGAGGCAAACCACTGCCCCATGAGAACCATGGCTGCAGCCCACGTTCCTAAACTGAGTTTTCTCTAAGCCTACAGCAGTGATTCTCAAACTGTGTCCTGACTGAGAGCATCGGCATCACCTGGGAACTTGTTAGAAATGCAAAGTCTCAGGCTGTATCCCAGAACTACAGAATCATAAACTCTGGGGGTGGATCAGTGTTTTAGCAAGTCCTCCGGGGATTCTAATGCAGACTAAAGCTTGAGGGAAAGCCCTGGACATATTTGGGAGGGAGCCCCTTACCGCTTCCATTTCATTATAAACAGACCCCTTGTGGCAGGCTATACGGTCTGCAGGTATGGAGCCTTTCTTCTTTCCTGCTAACCAAAGCCAGATTTCATTTAGGTGTCCACAGAGAGTCCTTGATCTCAAGAAAGGTGGGTGGGCCCCAGCTGTGTGTGTGTGACAGGGGGGTGGGCTTGTGAGAAGGTGTGCCTGCTGGACACTTCTAGGAACTTGAGAAACCATCCCTCTCCGCCCTCGCTGCCCTTGTGCTGAGGCTGTGCGACCTGCAGCCTCAGTCACCGCCTTGTAACCACGATGGGACAAGCCTAAAGACGAACGTGCCCACCCACCAAGCACAGCAGAGCGAATGAAGGAAAGAGCCTGGTCCTTAGAGACACTGAGCAGCTGAAGCCATCTCGACATTCACATTCCTTGAGATTTCTTGTTAAAGGAGAAAAGATTTTTGGTCTAAATATGTGTCAGGTGGTTGCTTTGTTTTGGTTGTGTTTTGTTTTGCAGTCAGTTACATCCTGATATCTTAAAAACAAAGCAACGAACACTACTCCAAACAAACAAAAACTATTCTAATGGGGGGTGCTTGAGTGGCTCAGTCGGTTAAGGATCTGCCTTCGGCTCCGGTCATGATCCCAGGGTCCTGGGATGGAGCCCCGCCCAGTGGGGAGTCTGCTTCTCCCTCTCCACCCCCCGCCCCCCTCCCACTCATTCTCACACTCTTTCTCTTGATCTCTCATGCTCTCTCTCTCTCTCTCTCTCTCTCAAATAAATAAAATCTTTTTAAAAACTATTCTAACGGTCTCTATAGCCCCTGACTCCCCTGAATGCCTAGACATTTGGGTAATGGCATTTTAACTGAAACAAAATGTGTTTAAGGAATGAGAAAGCTACTCTTGGTCCCTGTAGGCACTAGAGGACACAGCCAGTCAGGCCGGGGGTGGCAGGCAGTTTTCACATTTTGACTATCTGATCTTACCTCTGATACTTAAACTGGGGGGAAGCCCTAACTTAAGGGAAGGTAACTAAAAACCTTGTTTGATTTGATTTGATTTTTTTGAAAAGATTTTTATGTATTTATTCATGAGACACACACACAGAGAGAGAGAGAGAGAGAGAGGAGAGAGAGAGAGAGAGAGAGAGAGAGAGAGAGAGAGAGGCAGAGACCCAGGCAGAGGGAGAAGTAGGCTCCATGCAGGGAGCCCGACGTGGGACTCGATCTCAGGTCTTCAGGATCACGCCCTGGGCCGAAGGAGGCGATAAACCGCTGAGCCACCCGGGCTGCACCCTTGTTTGATTTTAAAGCAAATTTGTGCAGCCTATCTCCATACTCTATGAAGTCAGCAGACAGAGGCTGTGCAGGAGTTAACTCCGTGGACCAAGGTATCCAAACCCTTCACATTCCTTGACTGGCTCCTGGGAGACAACCTTTAAGCCCCTGGAATATCCTGCTTGGTAACGACATCTTTGTTTACCTGTGGCCTGGGGCCACACCAATATTTTATGCTAACAGTATGATTGATGGTGAGTGCATTTTTCTTCAGCTAGGGCCCTGGGCTGTGCTGTGTCAGTTTGACCTTGGGGGTTAGGGGAACTAGAGACTGAGTAGTTAAGGTTAATCATTGGGGCACTCCATGACTATGTGACAGACCCCTGATAAACTCTCTGGATGTCAGGCCCAGGTGAGTCTCTGTGCTTGGGAATACTTCATACATGTTGTCATGCGTCATTGCAGAGAGGATTATGTACTGTCCTATCTACTCTAGTGGGAGAGGACCACGGGAAGGCTGCTTGTGTCTTGTCTCTTCTGGCCTCTATGTGCCTTTTTCCTTTGCTGATTTTAATCTGTATCCTTTCACTGTAATACAAACCATAAACATGAGTATAACAGCTTTTTTGAGTGCTATGAGTCTCGATGAATCACCATACCCGAGGGTGCTCTAGGGACCTCCTGACATGGAAGGAAGTTACTTCTACAGAGAAGAATGCTAAAATATCAGCAAGGCCAAGCAAACCAGACACTGCTGATTTTTCCCAGTAAGAAATCTATTTTTTAATTTTTAATAATTAAATTAAATTTTATTATTCTTAAATTGAGGTATAATTGGGGCATCTGGGTGGCTCAATTGGTTAAGTGTTGGAAACTCTTGGATTTGGCTCAGGTCACGATTCATCAGGTCATGAGACCCTGGGTTGGCCTCGCTCAGCAGGAGTCCTGCTTGAAATTCTCCCTCCTCACCTCTGCCCCTCCTGCTCATGCTCACTCTCTCTCTTCTCAAATAAATAAACTAAAATCTTAAAAAGAATAAAATTGAGGTATAATTGACATACAACTTTATATTAAATTTTTGGTATATAACATGAGGATTTGAAAAGTTTATAATTGCAAAATGATCACCACAATCTAATTAACATCTATCCCCATAAGATAAATTTTTTTCTTGTGATGAGAACTTTAAGATTTACTCTCTTAGCAACTTCAAAGATGCAATGCCAATTTAACTATTAACTAGTCACCATTACAATTATTAATCCCCATGAATTACTGACTTATAGAAAAGCTTTCAGTGTTCACCCATTGAAATGATATTAGCTGTAGGTAGGCCTTACATTCAAGGTCTTTAAACCTTTGCGTAAATTTTTTGTATATGGTAAAAGAGAGTGGTTCCAGTTATTCTCTTGCATGTAACCATCCAGTTTCTTTTTTTTTTAATTTTTTTTATTTATTTATGACTGTCACACAGAGGAAGAAAGAGAGATAGGCAGAGACACAGGCAGAGGAGAAGCAGCTCCATGCACACCGGACCCGACGTGGGATTCGATCCCAGTCTCCAGGATCGCGCCTGGGCCAAAGACAGTCTAAACCGCTGTCCCACCCAGGGATCCCAGCCATCCAGTTTCTTTAAAACACTTTATTGAACAGACTGTCACTTCCCCACTGTATATTCTTGGCTTCTTTGTCATAAATTAATTGATCATGTATGTATGGGTTTGATATTTTGTTTTATGTAAGAGCTGGGAGCCAGATGGGAGGGAAGGAGCAAAGCAGACTTATCTAGATGCTAATTCTAGTCAAACTGTGATAGAAGAGGGATCCCTGGGTGGTGCAGCGGTTTAGCGCCT